CCATGATTAGCAACTCTTGGTGTTCCGATTTTGTCGAAACTGTCCCCGCAGTTTTAGTTCAAGCAATTGTACCCCTACGTCGAGTATTCAAATACCTATAATGGTTTTGCAGACATGGGTTTCACGAATATTTTATATTCGTGAAACCCATATATATTCTCTCTTTCATCTGTTCCTTTTTACGCCTTTTTCTGCTTGATATTGTATTAATGCTGTTAGGGGAAATTCTGTCCTGGTCTCTCATGAGAAGAAAGCGTGCCAGAAAGGTGTGACAAGGCTCAAATATTATGAATTCTTTTGTACCCTTCAGTCTGCCTCAGCAAAAATTGTGTATGGGAGTTGGTGGAAGACTATAACAAGAATAGAAGCAGAGTAATTGGATAACAGTAAGAAACAAAGAGCAAAAAGGAAAAGGAACGCAAAAAGTTTTGGTTCCGGCGATGCTTGTCTTAACCAATGAAGAAGTCATAATGGATTCCCATAAGTATATAACAAGGTATCAGGTTATTAACCGTACCATGAAGTGACATTAATGAGGGTTACAGAAAGAAACTGGATTGAACGTTAGTGGTATGGACCGCTTGGGTTGTGTGCGCGCCGCTATTGCAGAGCGCCAAAAATATCCGATATTTGTTTCAGATGTCTTGTTTGGAAGGGTGGTTGCTCTTAAGTATTTCGAATCAGATCATTCATTCTGACATTCACCCTATTTCTAAGAAAATAATTGTAACAAGATTAGTGGAAGTAGGCCTGGTGTATTTTTACGTTGAAATATAAAATTCCACCCTCTACGTCTCACCCTTAAGGCGAACAGGTAAAATGTAATTCAAAAGAAAAAACAATCCCAAACACTGAAATAAAAAAATAATTAATAACCAACATCGTTACTTTCTCTGTTTATGGGGAATAGGGCCAAAAATAAAAGGAACACCCACGGGTAAACAATAGGAACTTAGCAAAGATTCAGGGAGAATTTAGTGAAAGCGAGGTCTGGGGGTAAATTGTCAGCAAATGACATCATTGTGTGGGATAGCCTCGGGAGCTTATTCTCAAAGGCCAAAGTTGAATATTACACATAATCGAATTTTCCGCGCAGGAAGAAAGCGAAATATAACCTCACCAATTTGTCACGGCTTGCTCTATGGTTTGTGGAGCGTCTGTTGAACATCCCACGGCAAGATTCTCTCCCTGTCCACCTCTGTCTCTGCCCGGCGAATGTACCAGGCTACCCATAACTGCAAGCGTCTGAGCGTACTGTTTCGCCTCATCACACATTTGTCTGTCCAGTGTCATAGCAGCAGCTTCATGTACTTGTCGGAATTCATTGTGCTTTGCTAAACCCTGTTGTTCTTCGTCGGTA